TTACCAAAAAAAAACCCTATTAAGTTCAGTTTCAGAATCTGTAACTTTGGACAGCAGAGTAAGTGCTCTCAAGAAATTAGACAAACTTCTCTATAGAAATGATCAAGAAACACCCACAGCTCTTGCAACTTTTTCCATGACTGTCCCTAGTTTTAGAGCATGAAGCTGTCCCTAGTTTTAGGGCATGGACTCACGGAAAGGAAAGCACAGCTGGATGAAACTATACAACTTTTGATGTGCTAAAGGCCACCATTCTGATGAAAAAGAATGGTGAACTCCAGGTTCCTGAAATTTGCTACGATTTTGCCTTGAAGAAGCTTACTCATATTTAAATTTTATAACTGGAAATTAAAGCAAAACAAGAAAACAGTTTCTTCAAGAAACTATTTCATAAAAGCAGTAAGTGAGGTAATGGCTAACAAATGATCCTTTTAGTTACTTAGGTTTGAAATGCAAGGACATTGTGATACAGAAATATATAATTCAATATTGTTTCAGGCAAACTCATGCTACAGTTTGTAAAAATACAGTGAAATGTTCCTGTATGACAATCTTTTGGGGTTTTTTGTTTGCTTGTTTTTTGACACTCTTGTCCACAATTTCACCTACAATGCATGGATATGAACAAAATAAAGCATATTTACATAATGGTCAGAAAATTGACTAGTGTTTCCCAGAAAGCACGTTAACAGAATTACTACCCAAGTTGACAAAATTACTAATATATCCATTTTCAGTGAAAAAAGTGCTTAAAAATCTTAAATCACACAAAAATCATTCTGAAACTGAGAGCTACAAAACTCTTAAGAAACATGCAGCACACAAGAAATTATACTGGAACAGTCTGAAAAAAAAGTTGTAAGCAAATTTAAATAATATAAGTAAAATGAAATATGGCCAGAGTGGACATAATTCCATGGTTATTTCTTCCCTAAGCCATTTTGGTAGGCTGACAGCCAAGCACAGCAAAGAGCCAGCCATTTAACTGTGTGCTGGGAAGCAGGATCACTTCTTAAGTTAACAAGACCTTTTTTTATTATTTATTTTTATAACCCTTGGGGTTTCTTTTCCCTGGACAGCTCTGGAACACGTGCTGGACAGGCTGTCATTACTTGCATTATTAGCTCTGATAAGCACACAGCTCTAGGTGGTATAGCTGCAGGCTAAGGTACCGGGCTGGGTACAGATGGACCCTGTGCTCATGCAGAGCACTATTGAATGTACAGGGGCTCCCCATAGGGACACATGTGAACCCAGCCTGACCAAGCCAATTGTAAGGGCCCATACTTGTGGAATAGCTTTATTTCCTACAGTACTGATGCATTTATCACAATTTCCTAAAGACAAAAAGAAACAGAGGTCTACTAATAGGAGTTTCTGAAACATGGACTTAACATAAAGCAGAAAAATCCTACATCGAGAGCAAGTTAAATGAGTATCTCTGCCCTCAGTGTAAACAACTCCATTTCATGCATGTGTGTACACTCCACAGCACACAAACCAAGTCACAAGAGCTTTGATTACTTAATTACACAGCTTATGTTCATAGCTTATAATTGTTTACAGCATAAAAAGCATAGCCTCTTTACTCTGATTAACACCTATCCCTGTGTACTAACAAGACAAATTTATTCCAGGAATAATCTCACAATAGATTTATGAGATGGTAAATCTACTGATCACAAAACTGCTTAAGCTTCATTTCCCATGGTTTGGTTTTTCTCCTTCACCCAGATGAAAAGGTGTACAACAAAATAACTGAAGTTCTGCAACCACCTTTTTATTTTAATAGAGGTATTAATGTAAGGTTTTGCTCGCCTATTTGATAAAAAACATTGTTTCATAAATACTCAGTTACGACTTCTAACTTTCACACAATTTGATCAAAGTTGGCTTACAGGCGACAGAAGATTGACAGGGAGATGGATGTACCCACAAACATTATTTTCCTAAAGATACAAAACTAAATTCTACACAGGAGAAAGAAGGAAGAAATTACAATTTTGCTTAACATCACAGAAAAAGAAAAGGCATAACATTTGCCTTTAAAGTTTATGGAGGGAGGAAGATGGAGAAGCTGTAAGGTAATGGTCCACAGCTCACAGCTCAAGAACCTCCAATATTGGCTGCTGCCACAGAAAATGAAGATGCTGAAACCAAAGTCCTCATGTTACACAAAGTTCAGAGGAGAAAAACACATTCACACTGTGCCTTTGGTTAACCTCAAACAATATTATACAAATACCAAGCTCTCAAAATACTTTTAATCAACATCTTTCAAATGACCCACACTACTGCAATTGCTATTCCTCTTCATTTTTTCCCCAACAGGTATAGAATTCAAAGTAAAAATGATTCAACTATTGTTCAAATGAAAAAAAAAAAAGGTCTGTTAAGTCCTTCTGGCAGCACTGGAAGGCACCTATTACATGATGCCACTTTCCTTTGGCATGTATTACTGTAACACTACTTTTTAAAATTTTTTGGAGAATGCCTAAAAGCAGCTGCTTAAAAATACCCTGGTCCACTTTCCCTAGATTTGACTCTAGTCATAAAGTGCCCTAGTGATGAAACTCCAGAAACTTCCTTTGAAGTTTCTTAAATAACAGCAAAACACAAAAAGCCACATGCCACTGGGGAAACAATTGTTCTTCCTGCCATGGTAAAAGCTGCTGAAACAATTCAGGGAAAACAGTATGGCAACAAAGTAAAATGCACTCCTTTGTCAGTAAATGCTGTTGAAAGATGCACAGAAGACCCTGCTGAAGATTTGAAGAAACAAGTGTTAAAACAAGTTACATAGTGTAGGAGGTTTGCTATACAGTTGAGTGAAAGTACAGAAGTTTTTAACTTCTCACGCCTTGTGGTATTTGCATTTCAACCATGAAATGCACAAAAACATATATATTTTTTGTGAGCCACTAAAGGAAAGATGTACTAGAGCAGATCTATTCTCAACAGAAAGTGGCATCTTGAATAAAAAACAATGTATTATGGAAAAACTGTGCAAATGTAGCCACTGATGGAGTGGCTGCTTTGACTGGAATAAAAAGGGATTCCAGACTAAGGCTACAGAAAGAGCACTGCACATGAAACTCCTTCACTGCCTCACTCAGGGGTGAGCTACTGCAGCATAGCTGGAGCCAGGAGTGCACAATGTGCTACAGGATGGCATCAATATTATAACTTGACAAAACAAGCCATCAAACAGTGGCATCTTTACCAGACTTTGTAATGAGATGGGGAGGGACCACAAAAATCCCTAGCAGAGACAGGCAGCAGAGAGAGGTTTGCTTTCTGAGTAACTTGTGGTAAAGTGCTTCCAAGAGCTGTCTTTTCTAAAAAAAATGTGTCAGGTTTGACAAGTGCTTCGAATCCACTGACCTTTTCAGTGATGACAAGTGGCTGTGAGCAGTTTGTTACCTAGCAGGAATTTCCAAAAACTAAACACTCAATGTGTCCCTTTAAGGTGAAGGTGTCATTTTAATAATGACTAAGAAAGTAATTCCTTTGCAAAAGAAGCTTGCATTTTGAAAACAGGAATTTGGATATGTTCACCTAATTATGTAATTTTTCGTCTGGTTTTGTTAGCGAACAAAATATGTGTCACCTACAAAAGCCTCTTATATCTGTACGCTTTAAAAGGATATCAAAAGAACTTTCTAACCTGTTAAAAATCTTCCCATGGAGAGTTTTAGGGGGGTTGAAAACACTGAGGTGCAACACCTTCTCCTCAGTTTGGAGAAAAAACTGATTGACATCAGGGGAGAAGATAATTTATTAGCCCAATTTCAAGCAAACCATTTGCAAAACTTGTGGATAGAACTGAAAAACGGGTATAGTTAAGTAAAATTTAGTAAGTGCGAGCAACTATGTACTTCTTCCATGGGGATCTATGCACCTCTGTAAGGTATCTTTTCCAGGCACCTATTAAGTGTTGAAATACACTGAATTTAGAACCAGGTATTCAAATTCCTATATCACAGTGTTAAAGATTTTAAAAACTATGATGCATGTCCAGTCATACAGATCTCAATAAAAAGGACTGTTATTAACAGTAATCTTTTCAGATTGACACATACTTTAAAATATTTAACGTACCATTTATTTCACCTTTATTGCATCCTTTTTTAAACTTCTATTTTTATGGTTTTTGTAACGTACATAACACACAGTACAGTGATACATTTACACAATTTGTAAATGAATACACCTATATTGGGATTGTGCAGTCAGAAATTTTTTACTGATGGGGTGCATGAACAAAAGAAGTTTAAAGAGCTCAGATCTGGATGACCAGATGCAAATGCCCTCTACTGAAAGCCGACACGTGTACAGAATAATTCAGTGGCTTTTCATCCATTCTTACATCCCTCTTATACCAGCATTCTTGGCTAACCTGTGTGTAAGCAGCTCTCAGCAGAGGGGTGACACCACTTCAAAGAGTTATTAAAGAGTTATTAATTTAAAGAGTCCAGTACTCTTCACAAGAAAATGAAAGCAGAAGGGCACTACATCACCCTATTTCAACATCTGTCTAGTAAGGTGTGTGTTTATGTGCATGGATCGTTTCAATGCTGGGGCAACGAAAGGATGCAGTATGTTGGGAATATTTAAACTAATTTGTTATAATCAGAGAAGCTTTAACTGAAGGTTTGTATGAGGCAGTTCAATTTATTTAGAAGCATTAAATACTTCATATAGAAACACAGTAACTCTTGTGCTGCTCTGCCACCACCAGACTGAGATGTGAAAAAATATGTAATAATCATACCAGATTCTACAGCCCTTGAGAGTAAGTAATTTTGGAAAATAGTGTATACATCACCAAGCAGCCAAAGCCAACACAGCAGATTTATATGCTTCAGTACTGTTTTCACAGTGAGCTGATAAGATGGAGATCACACTAATTCTCTGACTACATGATTTCAAAAACAAGGATTATATTCAGGTCACAAAAGTGAGTACATCTGATCTCCTAATGAATATTTGACTCTTACCTTGCACCTTATCTGAACACAGCTCCTTGGCTCGATCCCTCATTATTTGTGGAATCAAAACATCTTTTTCTACATGTCTTAGCTTAGCATTTTCTGCAAGAGTGAAAAAAAAAAGATCATTTTGAAAAAAAAATTATCTATACATCAGAAAAAGTCAGTCTAAAGAAATAACACAGCACTGTTTATATAACATACAGGAGTATATTGAAACTGTCACAAACAGCAGCAGAAAGTAACATGAAAGGGCCACACAGATCAAAAGGATGGGAAGTCCAAAATTTGCTCAGATACAAATATGAGCATTATCCTGAATATTTCTACTCTGCTTAATATGCACTGTGAACCAAAAACAAAGGGGCAAATTCTGACAGCACATGTGAATTTCTGTCTTATTGAATAAAAAAATCTACACACAGCACAGCAGTTAAATACCTTTATTTCTGGATACTAATATTTTTCTATGTACATGATCTGTATGTACTCTTTCATTCACTGACACAAAGTCAAGAAAAACAGCACATACTACAGCACAACTTAGAATTTGTATGGCTATGTGGAACACTTCAGTTTCTTCAGAAGAAAATGAAGTCTATTCAATGGAGGATCTAGAAGCTTTTTCATTCAGAAGTTCAGCTTAATGGTGTTGCCTGATTTCTACATTTAAAAGCAAAGTTGTAGTTTGCTTTCAGTTGTCTCCAGAGTTCTTCACAGCTAGTGATTTAGAATAAACACAGACCATTACAAAAAAAAAAATGCTGCTTTTCCAAATCCACTTTCTTCAAAACGATGGGATGAGAATTCATCAAGAACAGGTTTTGCTTTCTCATGTTCTGAGTTTATAACCCTATAAAGGACATTTGCTCAGAACACAGCAGTCCAATGCAATTATACCAAATACCTGGTTTTCATCTTCAAACACACTATTTTTTCATCCTTTGAAGTTGATATCACATTTCAGAATGGCATCAGTTCTGAAATAGCATCATATGAAAATTCTACTATCAGATAGAGTTATTTTGGGTGACAATAATTTCAATTTAAAATCACTTATTAAAAAGAAAAGGAGATGAAATGACAAAAAAGTAAAAGTGCAATATATTGAAACTAAGGAAAGAAGAAGGTTTTAAGTAACGAACAGATTTGAAACACTATTTTTACTAGCATTTTTGGTTTCTTCTCCATCAAAAAACAACTGAAACCAACATTTGTCATTCTTAAGTCAACATCTTTTAAAATTTACTAATGCTAAGAGATTACGTTATGAGATTACACAGTATTGCATATATGATATTACTAGTGGAATCTAGCAACAACAGAGAATTACAATGAGCAATATACAGAATCTGAACTAAAGACATTTCTCCTCAAAAATATCCTTTTTAGCATTTCTACAGCAGGAAAAAAACCCCTCTATTCTGTACATATAACAGAAACACTAAAAACAAATAGCTCATGACTTAGATTTGCTTCAATGCACTGATTTTCATATTACAATATTACAAATATCATATTTCTACAAATATATTATTTTACAGATAAAACATTACAAATATCCTTCATTTTAACTTTCTGCAGGTGTAATTACTGTACCAAACACTAGTTACAGTACATAGGCTACAGACAACACAAAGCTGTCAGTAAACTTCCAAGCATGTTTTGTTAACAGGACAAACCAGTTCAGCTGAACGACATGGCAGGAAGTGGCACCACCACACTACGTGTCCCCACCCACTCTAGTCAAAGTAAGCTGGCACTGCAGCCTTCCTGCCCTCTCCCCATCCCTGGGATGCTCTTTTCCCTCTGTCCACACAGACAGGCTCAGCAGCCCTGTGGTGAATGAAAGGGGAAGTTAATTTCCTTTAAAGGTAAACAAATTTCCTGTTAGGTAATTTTTCAGCTAGGCAAATTCCCTGATCCTGTTCACGGTATAACTCCAAAGCTGCCCATACGAGGGAATTCAGTGAGATGAGGACAAGAAGAAAGACTGAAGGATCATGAGTACCACTGGCTCAAATTACAGCCTAAATTTCTGCACCCCACACTTTCTTTTTCTAAACTCAACTTGGCTATACTGGTGCTTGGAGTACACAGATACAAACGCAGATACAGTGAATCAAGTGGGCTGCTACCTGTCACCAAAAGGGAAGTTTTACCAGTGCTGCATTGCCCTCACTCACCCCCATCACATCATCATTCTTCTGCACCTAATCTAGCAGTGAGTTAGCAGGTCAAAACAGAAAACTAACCCAAATACATGTGAAAAAGTGCTTCTTAGCTCATTTACACTTCAGACTAATTAGATCTACTTATCTACTTCCCATAATTAGCATTATAGAACATCCTGAGTTGGAAGGGACCCACAAGAATCACCAAGTCCAACCCTTGGCTCTGCACAGGTTCCACTTTTATACCACAGCATACATGGAAATGTAGCAGAGAGAAGTCTTTAGGGCCTGGGAAGAGCAGCTGGGTTTCCCCTGCTGGCAAAGCTGGCCAGAAGCATCCACGATTTTCACAATGACAAAGCACAGGCCTACAGTGAAAGATCAGCCATCCCTCTACTGACAAAGAGGAGAAGTGGGTAGGAATGCAACTAAAGGCTCGAAAGGAAACAGGACACAGGGCCACCTGGGAAAAAAACAAGCAAGCAAGCAAGCAAAGAAAAAGAAACCCAAAAAAGGACTTCCCTGATAGCCCAGAACAGTCAAAAAAGATTGCTGGGTTTTCTCTTAGGTTAAACACCCAATCTTCTGTTTGATTATTCAAAAGAAAGAGGCTAAGACTGATAGCAAGGAGTAGCTCTACTGGTGTTAACACCAGCACAACCAGAACCATGACAGAACTGTGCTCCAGGCAAATTCCTTCTTTTTATTCCCATGTTGTCAAGTCTACAAATGCTGAAAATGCAGGAAGGAGAGGGTACATCAGGACACTGGGCAGCATCCAGTAGGAAGAATGAGAAGAGCTACAACAGTAGTTCAAAAGTAATTATACAACAGTATAAAGGAAACTACAGCAAAGGATATTTATAAACTCATCTACAGTTTTTTAAGAATCTCTGTTGTGAAGTACCAGTTTCCATAGGTTTTTTTTAATTTTAAAAAATGTTTGTATTTACAGAATTTTGCTTTTGTATTTTTAATTAGAAAATATTTAGTACTTAACAATGGTTGGACTTGATGGTTTTAAACATAGCCTAAGTGACTGCATGAAAAGCCCAAGCAATTTTAATTATCTTATACTGTCTAAGTTTCAGGCTCTGGGTACAACTACCTCTCCAAATAGCTCAAATGCAGATGTTCAGTTTAAGCAGTACTGTATTTACTTGTGAGTTCCTATTGGAAGATCTTAAATATACCTCCTTGATTCTAAACTATCCATTGCATTTTACATTTATAGTGATACTCCTTCAATAATCTCAAAACACTTTACTGTAGTCAGTATCCCTAGGATTTATATAAAATATTTAAGAAAAATAAGGTGCAAATATTAAAAATAGCAGATACCAGCTAAAGCAAATGTCACAAGCAAATTTGACAAGCAAAGCACCTGCACTTCTGATACTGATGTACAAGCACTTGCAAGATCGCCATCAATTCAAGCTATTCATCTCTGCAGTAACATATATGGCAACAACTTTCAAAGAACACCTCAGAAACAAGACTTCATCAAAAAATAGGACACAACCATGATGTAAAACCATCAACTCCTTTTGCCTTTTTTCAACTATATCACAGTTTTCAAAATAAGAACATTTTTCCCCTTTCAAAAGTTCACTATTCTGCACTAAGAAAGGTACTTCTTACTCTAATACCAGATTTGCTACAGACTAGGCTCTACAGAAGAATCTGCATTTCAACAGTCTTACTCCTGTTTTATTTCATCATGAAAATATTATTCCCAGACAAGTAAGAAATATATTTTCCTACAGTTTGCCTTCTGCATTTGGAAGCTGATACCTTTGGTATCACCCACATCCTCCACACACTTTTTCTGGTCTTCTGCGTAGGCTGTTTGAAGAGACTGTGGCCTTTTGCCACAAAAAAAACCACCACATCACCCCTCAGCTTCCAGAGGGCCAGACAAATGTAGCAGCAGCTTTTCTTCTCCCTCTGCCAGCCCAAACTTGGGCATTTAATACTCTGATAGCTTACCCTTACCTTACCTTCTGATGAAATTTTGAAGTACCATCAAACATTACAAGGAACAGATGGATGAACACAGCTAATCAAGTAAAGGTTACAAAACAAAGACTAAATACTACAAATACTAAAAAATGTTTTGTAAAAACATACATAAAAGTTAGCCAGAATTAAAACCAAATGCAGGCTTCCAGGGGCTACAGCTAACTCACTAGCTACTTGAAAATTAAAGTCTACAGGCAAGGAATCTGTATGACAGAACTACTGAATGTTTCCTAAAGACGGATCAGCAGATTCCAGAATGCTCCTCTTGGGGACAAGGAACACATGAGAACATAAAGAACAGTTAAAGAAGTTACAAGTTTGCAGGAAAAAAAAAAGACAAAAGGGCAGAAAGCTACAGAAAAGAGAATACCTTTGTGAAAGAGAAACTGCTTTCCATAAAACCTCAGCCCAGTGTAAAGAATTAAAGAGAGAGATTACTTAACTGGGAGATACCCTTATTCACTAAATCACTAAGAAACATTTATGATTTGTGGGGTTTTTTAACAAATAAAATCTGTGGGGTTTGGCAAATCTCAGTGCTCGTGGTTCTCGCTATATACAATATGTAGGGCACAAGACTACAGTTGTAATAATAGCCTTCTGTGGCTGATCCAAACCCTCAGCTGCAAAAACTCTTTATTGCCATGGAAGGCCAAGGACCACAGCTGGTCAGTTTAACAGTTTTCTTTTTTTTTTTTTTTTTTAATGACCAAACCCCAAGAAACTAATATACATTAACAGGAACAAGAACATCCCAACCTCTAGAACGCATGAAATTCACTCTGTATGGAAGCTGGGAAAACAGATGACAAATACTTTGCTGACTTTCTAGCCTCTGACCAAAGGACTCAGGATGATCTTGAGAACAAGCACCGTGTGCTGCATGCAGCAGACCTTTAAAGGGGAGCAGAGAATGAAATACAAAGCTGCTTTACAATCCTAACAACAAAAGGGACTCTAGCAGCTTCTCATATCAATTAGAACACTATTACAAGAAGAGGATACCAAGACAAAAGCGTTCCTAGAAGAGTGTCCTGAGAGAAGTCATGTAATCTCCCCACTTTATCCAACACAGCTAGAAACTGACCTGCTCACCCTTTACTCATCCTGCTGGTAGTCAACAGCTCTGCTCTCACCTCTTTCATGACTTCAGGTAGCAGGGACACATTACTCAGGAAAGCTGAAATCTGCTCTATCCAGCTACTTAAAGAACCTCACACGAGTCTCCATCCAAGGGGAACTGAGTCAAGCAATTCCAGCAACAGTCTTTGAAATGTGCATTTCTAGTTATACATCCTACAGTTAGGATTTTCTTGATTTTTTATTTAGTCACGTTCAAAAAATGTTCAAAATAGTACTTTAAATACTATTGCTTCTTCATTAAGAATCACAGTACTTATGAAGAACAGAGAAAGCTTTAGTAACTTTACATCATTTTACTTAGCAATTTTACTACCTCATGCTTTTTTTGAAATTCCAGTTCTATTAACTTTTAAGCATCAGTTATGTTCCTTACAAGAAAAAATACTGTAGAAACTTCAGTCACGGTTCATGAATCCAAGTTAAAATACAACACTAAATATATAAATTTGAAAAGCAATCACTTTCGTTATTTTGGGAGACTGATTAAGAAATGTGGAGCCACAAAGGAGACCTTTTTTTTATTACACCTTAATATTTTTTTCCTACCAGTTGCCATCGAAGGTAAGCAGTTGTGAGTAGACAGATTTCTAAGATACTCTTCTTTTTCAAGCTAAGAAATAAAACTCAAAAAGGTATCAATA